CCTCTTCCTAGAGTCCCTGCACCGCTCCTGCTGCGCTGCGCCTCGGAGGCTATCCGCCCTGACGCGGGGGCCGCGTGCAGGCAGCCGACAGTCGCCGAGTCGCGCGGGCAGCGTCTGGCGGGTCTGGACCTCTGCGCTGCGTTGCGGAGATTCACTCGTCTAGCGCAGACTGTCACCTCCAAAAATCCTACCGATTCCCGGCCGATCTCTCTTTAGTGCAATTTTGCTAGGAGTTTCTCAGCAGGTCGAATCTAAGCGTATCCATGCGTCTCTCTGACCCCGTTGTTGAGGAGGTACTGAAAGCGCTGCCTCCCCTTTCGCCGCCATGTTGGATCCTCTGGAAAATTTATCATGTAGGCTGGGTATTATTAGTAACTGTGCTATTTTATCTCCCGGTGAAATTATTGATATACCCTTTGGAGAACTGGCTATAATTTTTATTTCACCTTCATAATCGGGATCAATTACCCCAGGACTTATCATAAGTCCTTTTAGAGTAGAAGAACTTCGTCCCAATAATAAGCCTACTGTTCCTTGGGGAAGAGGTCCTTTTACCCCTGTGGGAATGATTTGAACTCCCATCTCTGGAGTTAGTACTGATCTCGCGGAGGCGCAGATATGTCCAACCCTGCGCTCCCTCTGGTTTGTCTGATGAGGGATCTAATGGACAATGTGTCCTGGGCACTACCCTGATGGGGTTGCTGGGTTCCTCCAGTGCTCCGTATATTTGTGGTTTCGGGCCCCGGAGCATTGGGCCCCCCTGTCCATTTTTTGGCAAAGGAGCCCGATGCCTTTCTCCACGATATCGTGGATAAACACCTGGTCCTTGTTTGTTTTTTGACAATGGAGTACCCTCTATGGTGGTTTGAGAACGGCATTCATTAGCCCAATGTCTCCCCCTACGGCATCGTGGGCAAATACCCGGTATTCTACTCCTTTGATACCTAGTTTTGTTAAACCCTCGTCCTATGGGGCAATTCCTTTTAAAATGTCCTGTTTGTTCACAATTGTAGCATGTTCTTGGCCTGGCATCTAAAGCCTGTTTTACTGCAGCTGCCACAACTTGCCCTTGTTCTAAAGCCTGTTTTACTGCAGCTGCCATGACTTGCTCTTGTTCATTAATGTCTCTACATAATTTAATATATGTGTTTAAATCTTCATGTTTCCATGGTCTAATGACTTTGCACCAACGATTCGCTTGCTCATAAGCCAGTTGGTTTATTAATGGTATTGCTTGTTCTGTATTCCCAAAAACTCTGGTAGCTGTTTGAATAAGCCTATCTACAAATTCAGCGTAAGATTCATTTGCTCCTTGTATTACCTTAGATAATTGACCTTGTAAACCTCCATGTCCTTGTAAAGTCTTCCATGCCTTAACTGCATCTGCAGCAATCTGTGCGTATACACCAGGATCATATGCAATTTGTTGCTGCTGATCCTCATAAGGTCCCTTTCCTAACAACATATCTAGATTTCTCTGAGGATAACCAGCTGCTGCATTTCGCGTAGCCGTCTCCTTGCAAAATTCCTCATTGGCAACCTTCCATAACAGGTATTGACCTCCATTTAGCACAGCTTTACACATATTAGCCCAATCTGCTGGCGTCATGTTCAAGTTGTTAATGGATTCAACCATGCTTACAGTGAAGGGTGCTTGAGGACCATAGGTTGTTACAGCCTCTTTTAGCTGCTTCAGTGTTTTGAAATTTAAAGCACTGTGAATTTGCTGCCCTCCTGCCTCAAATACAGAGCATGTTAATACTTGAGATCCTGTCTCAGGATCCCAACTATCAACTGCGGGGGTTGAGGGCCTCCCAGCATATGGAGGTGCCGCTGTTGGTTGGACACTTACGCCCTCTGGTGATAGAAAGGTGTTAGTAGCAGTCTCCTGTTGTAACTTTTCCCCTGATGGCTTTTTCTGCTCTAAGCTTTCTTCCTCTATCTGACCAGCTCAAAAGACCTTCTCTTTTACTTGAATCTTTTCCTCTTTCTGACTAACTTGAGAGACCTTCTCTTTTACTTGAATCAATATGTCTTCTCCTTCCTCTACCTTTGTCTGAACTGAAGGCTTTGGACTAAGCAAACAAGATACCAATGCCCGCAATGTCAATGTGCCAACTGGCAGAGTTTCTGGCCTTTTCTTTTCTATTCTTTTTAAATCTTCACCATGGTTCCATTGTGATATATTCAACAACTCCTCCTTAAAAAGCCATGGGCTACATTTTTGTATTGTATCAACGTATGCCCTGACTGCTCTTGATTTTACTGGGATGCCTCCTTCCTCTAACAATTTACTTAACACTCTTTCGGTTTGTTTTTTACTAATTTCTGATCCCATATTTCTACTATAATACAACCCAACAAGATGACGCCAAACAAAACCGAGACAGAATGAAATAAAAATGGAACCACACAAAATCATTATATCAGCCTTTCTATCCTCCTGAAATGTCCATCCGTCCTTTCTCCCTGTCTGTTCCTCAGACGCAAATAGTTTTTCCTCAGATGTGAGCGGTTTTTCTTCCGTCTCACTCATCTCCAGGGACAGGCAACTTAAAACAAAAGCGAAACAAAACAAAAGAAGAATCTTAAAATGGCTACCCATCCTCTTGCCCTGCCCTCAGGGGCGAGCAGTTTACCTTATCACTTACCCTCAGTCATTCCCCATGCGGCCCACCAAATGCCGCAGTCTGGCTGGGCACAATTCAGGAGACACTTGTCAAAAGAAACGAACTTTATTATTCATTTTTGTGTACTTTTTTTCTTTTTCTTTTTTGTGGTGCTGGGGATTGGAACTCAGCACCTTATGCATGCAAGGCAAGCACTCTATCAGATGAGCTATATACCCAGCTCCTTCCTTTTTTCTTGATTGGTTTTGTTTGATTTTTTTCAAATTTTAGCTGAATTATTTCTCCTCTGTTTCATATATTTCTACTCCTACTCTTATTTTTTCCTTCCTGCAACATAATTTGAAAGTAATTTGATTGTTATTCTATCTTCTTTCTGATACAAGTCCTTTAAGTTATAATGTTCATCTGAGTACTCTTTCATCCCAGAGGTCCTGATATTTTAAGCTTTTATTATCACTTAGTTCAAAGCCTTTTTTATTTACTTTTTTTTGTGTTTTTTTCCTTGACCTGTGAGATATTTCTAAGTTGCCATTTAATTTTGAAATAGTTGACATGTGGGGGTGTGGTTCTATCTATCTTAATGTGGTTGATTTTTAATGTAATAAATCGTGCAGGAAACACTGTCTGCATGAGTTCGAATTTAAAAAAGAATGGAAATGCTTTTTATATTGACTGTATATGTTTATGTCAAAATTGATCAAATTGCATACTTTAAATATGTTCATTTTATTGAACTCCAGTTTTACCTCAATAAAAGTATGAAAAAAATTAGTGGAAAAAAATCAGATTTTCTTTTTATATTCTATGTATTACTGTTCAAAATTTATGTAATAAATTGGTATATAATATAGCTTGTCTTATTTTGATTCTGATAATAGTGTGAAGAGTATGAAGGGAATGAATTATAAATTGTTGCCATTTTATAGGTGAGAAAAACCTGAAGCTCATAGAGACTTTGACAAGATCACTTGTCTATGATCACATCAAAGTTGAAATGGTTTGCTGGCATTTTCAGTGAATGTTTCACTGAATAAACGTTTTATCCTTTTGGATATACACATTTAAAAAAATGCTTGTGGTTGTAATATAATTAAAAATAACTATAGTATGTAACTGTAGTTTAACACAGTATTGCTACTTTTGTATTTTTTTGTCCTTGTGTGTAAAACTAAACCTATGTAGTGTTCAAATATCAAACATATTTGAGTGCTGATATGTGTTTAGTTAGCATTGTATTGCCTACTCTAATGTAGTTTAACCTATGTACCATGTTATGACCAACTTAAGTAAACCATGATAAAATGTAATTGCTAGACATATATTTTAATAAGACCAAAGATAAACAGTAATTCTAATTAAGAATATGTAGGAAAATACATTTGATATTCTAATAACTGGCAAAATTAAGTTTTCCATCTTAGTAAATTTTACTTTTTAGTAATAATTTGTCTTGTTAAAATAGAAAGCATGAGTTATAGAACTGTGTCTAAACTCAAATTAAACTTTGATCTTTGTTACTTGCATTTTAATTACCTTCAATATGTTTAAGAGTAAGAAAAAAAAAAGGAAGAAAGAAAATTTCCCCAATTCTAAGTATGCAGACGCTGTTAAGGTCTTAGTACAATGTTTTCACAGTTCTTACGGAGCGAATTTGTCCTAAAAAAATAGTTAATTCACCAATATAGTTTGTTTTTCATTCATTAATATGAAAATTCTAAAATTAAACAATTAGGTTTGCTTGATGATGTAAACTGGCAAAATGCTAAATTTTACATAATTTATGAATCTTGTTACATAATTCATTAATCTTATTCTCCAAATGTTGAACATTTATTTCAGATGTTTTAATCTTGGAGAATAACTTTTAAATCTGCATTGCAACTTGAGAAATTTCTGGAAGTACCAAGATACTTATTTATATTAAAACAAATTTGAAACTTTTTTTTTTTTAAAGAGAGAGAGAGAGAGAATTTTAATATTTATTTTTTAGTTATCAGCGGACACAACATCTTTGTTTGTATGTGGTGTTGAGGATCGAACCCGGGATGCATGCATGCCAGGCGAGTGTGCTACCGCTTGAGCCACATCCCCAGCCCAAATTTGAAACTTTTTGATGTAATCTAATGACTTTGCTTGAACTTGAAGTTATCATAATTTAAGTTTTTGTTTTACCAACTGTTTCTTATTTGGGACATTTGCCTCCAAATTGAAATTTGTTTATTAAGTATAAAAAAATTTGGGAAACTCTTACTTTTTAAAATATGGATTTTTGAATAGTAAATTTATAATATTTTTGAAAAATTTATTCATGATATGTTGATGCCTTGATATTTGATATTGAGATATTTTAAATGTTTTTTTTTCCAATAGATTATCTTTCTCAAGGAATAGATCTTTCTGGAATAGAAGTAATAGAAAATGATCTACTTTTTATTGCAAGAGCTCGACTTGAAGTGGAAAATCAAGCTAAGCGCCTGCTAGAGCAGGGTGTAGAGACTCAGGTAATAAAAATGTTATTTTTTATGTGAAATATGTCATAATATTGACAGATTTTGACTTTGCATCCAAAAGAGTAATAAATGTCTTTATTACTGAGGAACTATGCCTACAATTAAATTGGATAGTAGGACACATATAAATACAGGTAAATTTTAATATGTTTTGATATATTTAATTCTAAATTAGGCCTAAGTTTTCTATGTATATAATATGAAATCATTTTATATGATGTACATTTTATGTATGATAGATAATAGTTATATCTGTGGAATGTGTCTGCTTTGTTCAAGGTATCCTTTCAACCACAGTATAGTTGGTATTATTGTTATTTCCATTTTACAGATGATGAAACAGCTTAAATAATTTGTTGAAGATATATAGCTCGTAAATGAAATGGTTTGGATCCAAATTTTAATCTCTAGCCCCCCCATACCATATACCATAACTAATTGCTGTGTCATAATTTTTAAAAAATGATTTGAAATTTTTCCTAATGTATCTTATTCTTATGCTTAGTTTTCTGGATTAAATTTGTAAAATCAAATATTGTGTACATTTTGAAAAATGAACAAGTCAAAAATGTACCTATAGAATGAAATACTACAGTGTGAACATATGTGTGAAATCAAAACTCACATCATGACATAGAACATTCCTGCTGTCTTAGAGTCTGGGTTTCTCACAATTATTACTTTCTCCCTGTTTCCCAGTGGTAAGGGTTATCATAACTTCTAACACTAGAGATCAGTTTTATCTATGAGGACAAAATATGTATATTATTTTGAAAAATAATATTTTTGTTTCTACATTACATGTGAGAGATACCTTTTTAGATCCTTAAAAGGTAAGGATTTAAAACACAACTTTCTTAATCTGATTGTCTGCCCTGAATGAAACATGAAAGGGGGAGTTGCCTTTCTACAGAGTAGCTGCTGGGTTTGATTCTGTAATCTTCTATTCTATATAAATTATACCTTCCTTGGGGATAGACTTCCTTTGTCTAATGTCCTATTCTTTATGTGGTTGATTGTATCTACTGACACCTTTATCTCTCCCATGTGTTCATTCAGGATTTAGTTGGAACTGTTTTCTCTTTATCTTAAAATCCCATAATTCCATGTTATCAGTGCTTGTGAATATTTATATACATTGGCTAAACAGCTTTTTGATGTTTACTTGCTCAAACATGAAATCTATTACCCTTCCTTTCTCTTCTACTTTTGCATCTTTTTCCCATTAATAATCTTGGATTGTCATCTTTTGCACATATCCAATGTCTCAGTCTTTGGCCATGGGCTCCTTATTTTTTTCTGCCTTTTCCCTGTTCCTATTATAAAACATAATTATTTTATTAATTGAGAACACCAGTCTTTTCATGTATTTAGAACATCAGTTGTCTTCACTACTTGGTTTTCTACTCTGTCAATCATGTCTGTCCTCTTCTCTGTCTCTACAGTTTTTCTATATTAAGTTGATCTGAGATTTGTATTTTATGTGTTCCTCTGACTTCATCTGTTCTAAAACTTTAGCATGCATCAAAGTTGCTGGGAGGCCTTTTAAAAACAGAGAGCTGAGCCTAATGCCCAGAGTTTCTGATTCAGTAGATCTTGAAAGAACTGTTGCTCTTGATGATACTGTCAAATTCTTTTACCCCTGCCTTTATACTAAGCTTTCATGTCACAGTGCCATTTGTGGGTCATTGAACATCTAGCCTTATTTCTTACACCATGCTAGCCTTTTCAGTGCCAAGTAAAAATCAAATAATTATAAGATTGATGTAATTAAATTTTTGGTTTTTAAATACATCTAGGATCTCATTATTTTTTAGTGTATACAGTTCCCTTTCATTTCACAAATGACTGTTTACAATCTTTATTTCCTATGAATCTTTAATTCAATCCCTTCTTTTCTATTGTAATAACAGAATCTTATCTCTTTCCTCATTAAGAAAATCAAGACCAATGAAACTGAGGTGTTTTTTTTTTTTTAAACTTCTGTCAACATCATTCTTAAATGTGCATCTCTATTAAATATTTTACCTTCCTGTTAAAGGCTAATTTCCCATCACCCTGGCTGCCTTGCTTCTGTACTTTGCTCTTTTCCTTTTCTGAATCTTCAGCCTTTTCTGTTCTACTAGCAGCATACAAAGATACTCAAGTTTTTCCTACATGAAAGGAAAAAGGAATCTTCAGTTTTAAATGTTCTTTATGGCTACAAACAGCATGTAGATATTTCCTTGTTTCTATACTTCACAACCAAACTATTTGGAAGAATAGACTATTCTTACTACTGCCTCCTTTTCTTGATTTCTCATGTAGTCCCTAGTTTATTCTGGCTTCTAATATACCCTCTTCAGGAAATCTACTTTTATTTATGTCTCCAAATTTCCCCAAAGTCTTTCACCTTTTTTTTCTCAATTTTTTTTTTTTTTTTTTTACTTTGGTGATCATTTCAACTTCTTGATACCCCCTTTCTTTCAGTTTCTCTAATACCAAATTTCCCCTGGTTTCTTTTTCTTTTTCTTTTTTTTCTCTTGACCTTGGTTGTGATTTTTTCCTCATTCTTAACAACTTCAGCCACTTCATTGATGTTTGTCTTTCCTTTATCTGTTTGACTTCTTTTTACTTCACATGTTTTTTCATTGGTGGTCTCATATATTTCTGTTTGCTGATAACTTTCAAATTTCAATCTGAATCCTAGAGCTTTTTTTCTAATTCTTGATCTGTATATGTATGCATCAGGATTGTTAGTGTATTGTTAGTGTTTGCTTGAAAATAGAATCTACTTCTAGCTAATTTTAACAAGCAGGGATTTATTATAAGATATCATAGGGAAGGCTCAAGAAAAAGGCTGTAAGTTGAGCTTACTCTTTTCATTGGCTGTTACAGAGTAGCCTTATTTACCTGGGAAACTTGGGAATCAGGAACTATGTAGTATGCAAAATTAGGCAACCTGGGACAGTATTGATCCTTGTATGTTAGGAAACTGCCTGCTGTTTTGGTTATTGTTCAGTGCAGTTGATAGCTTTAGAAGCATATGGCCTCTGACATGATCCGGATCAACAAAGTCAGTGCCAGTGTTTTACTTATCGACATTCATGAAGCTAGGACCCAGGGATTAGAGCCTTTTAGAGACAACAGAGAAAAATGTTTACACATGTATGATCAAACTTGCCAGGAAAACCAGTAAATGTCGGAAAAGTACAGCCTCTGCCTTCTAAATTTTACACAGGTGCTACAGTTTACAAAACCTAAGTCATATCTGAAACCTTTTATACAATGGGGTCAGAAAAAGTCTCTCACTGCTTCCACAGAAAAAGCATACTTAAAAGTAAGCCAGAATGTATGTTAAGTAAGTTCATTTATGGAATCATTCACATTATTCCAAGTGGATATTACAATGACCCTCTAACTCAGAAAATTAAAAAAGAAATTTCATATGTATCTCCTGTAAACTGTTTGGTCACTGTTAGAGAACTGCACCTTTCACCTGGGAAACTCGGGAATGAGCTATTCAAAAGATCAGGACATTTTCTGCAAAAAGCCAGACTGCAATTAGTTTAGACTTTGTGGGCTATTCTGTTTTAGTCATACTACTGAATTCTGTTGTGGTCAGAAAGCAGCCACAGGCAATATGTAAATGAATATTCCAGTAAAATTTTATTTGTAAAAATAGCATGTGGGTCAGATCCTAGGCAAACATATTTATTTATTTTTAAAGGATAACTTTTTAAAAAAAAAAAACCTTTATTTTATTTATTTATTTTTATGTGGTGCTGAGGATCAAACCCAGGGCCTCACACGTGCAAGGCAAGCACTCTACCACTGAGCCACAAGCCCAGCCCAAACCCATTTATTTTTATTTTCACATTTTATGCTTTCAGCTTTCTCACGTAGATTACTATAGTTGTTAGTGGCCCTAATTTTAATTTGATATTCATACTGCTTTCAAAATGATCTTAATGAAGGATATTTAATCATATCCATGCATCACATAGATTTTTTCAACAGCTTGGTTCATTATAAATCTTATACTCCTTGTGCTGCTTGCAATCTTGCCACATCCCTAGAGGACACTTAGGTGTGATTGCCTTTGGTTCTCTGATCAGTACCAGGGTTTTTTTAGTCCGTGTGTTTGCATTCAGTGCTAACTATTTCTTAAACATATTTAATGGTCTAATTCTCCTGCTTATTTGTTTTGTATTGATTCTTCAATACTCAGCTTTTTTGGTAATTTCTTCACAAAGCCCTTCCTTCTGGGTTTGTTTAGAACCTGTATTCAGGGTTGTAATAACATCCTTAAGATGAAATTGCTTAATTAAGGTTATTTATTATTATTTGGGTATTTTATTTATTATAGATATAATACATATATTTCTGATGAACTCTTTGGATTGAGTTTCATTAAGAACTAGAACTATATATTTTTTCTCCTTCCTATTATTGCTCAGTAAAATACTTGCTAAATAAGTAATTGCATTAAATAATTGAATAAAACACCATATTACAATCTTTTGTTTCTTTTGAAGGATAATTTCACAGTCCTTATCTTCTCAAAGAAATTATTAAGAAATTCCAAATCAAATGTAAATAAGAATGGGTATTTCTATAGAACATTGATAGCAGTGCAGCTTATATATTTGCAAGAGGTGGCAATTAACATTTCAGAAAATATTATTATAAAATATTTTATATGAATAGTGTAATAGGCATATTATCACCTCATGAATGAGTTAAAATTTTATTGCATATCTATTTTCATTCTTCTAACTTTTGAAGTGTTTATCCCCCTTCTACACATACATAAGTTAACCAAACATAGCTGCGGTTCCAAGTCTGCAGATTCAATCAACTGCTGATCAAAGGTAATTTTTTTAAAATTCCAACAAATTCCAAAATGCAAAACTTGAATTTGTTACATGCTGACCATAACACTGTATCAGTGCAAATGAAGTGATGTGTAGACCTCACTTACTGTGGCCTCCCACCATGTTATACATCTT